TGTTTAAGGTGGCGCAAAAGTAAGCTAAATGCAACCTTAATCTGAAAAGTGTCTGTGGGGGGGGGGGGGGGGCGCAGTTAACACTGCTGGCCCCTCACCTTCCAAAGTGGGTGGGGGGCATGACCCCCCGCCCCTCCCCCTCCCCGTTCCTACACCCATGAGTGTGTGTCTTCTGTGGCTTCTTTGTGAATTGTTTTTCTTTTGAATTGTGGGACTTCTGAGTTTGTTTTCCGTGGCCTGCCGTTTATTTTTGTGCTTAACCTCGACTTGGTTCATGAAAAGCCGGGAAATATTCCAGGTGCAACCGCAATAAATTGAACTGAACTGAACCTCTGTTCTGACGTTGCAATCACCACCGTATGCTGAGTGCTTCTTCCCATTTCCAATTCATTTCAAGTTATTCCTTCTCATTTTTAGTGCTGACATATAACGCTATTCATTTACTAGGGAACGCAACCACACACTGCACAAATCCATGTCACTCACATTATCATGGCTGCTTTCGGCCTTTCAATTCCCTCCTTATCTTTTTCACGTCGCGTTTCTCCCAAAACTAGTGATAAGTGCCCCTAACCCACCTGACGTATCCCCCAAGGCAAGAGCTACTAAATCAAACTTCCGCTTCTACGTGAGAGTGATTTTTTGATCTGGTAACGCTTTCTCTCCATGCTGACGAGCTGACAAAAAATCCCGGCACCAATGTCAACCGGAACGTGACGCTACAGGCCACGTGACTTTGTGGTCACATGACGTGGCGTAGGATGAATACTGGGCCGTGATTGGTGCTGTCAAACGTACTGACGACAGATCGAACGTGGCCAAGCCCGTTAGCATGGAATGAAAGCGCTACCAGATTAAAAAATCTTTTGGGCAAAGAAGCGAGTTGATTTGGTAGCTTTTTAGTTGGCGAGTACGTTACGTGTGGTGGGGGCACTTGTCCCTAATTTTGAGAGAAGTGCGACGCAAGATAGATAAGGGAGAATTGAAATGCCAAGAGCAGCCATGGAAAGGTGAGCGACAATGATTGGTGTGGTTGCGTTCTCTAGTAAATTAATAGCCTTACAAGTAAACAATTAAATGAGAGGAAAGATATCTGAACGAATTGGAAATGGGAGAAAGCACTTAACATGGGGATTAGATGGATGTTGGTAATACCGGGACAGAAGTCACACTTCAAAACACCTCTTTATGGGAATGTGTCATGGTCGGCGGTAAGCCAGACTGTGTGGTCTGAAGAAAAAGGTAAAGGAAGAAGGGAAAGCAAAGTTTAACACTTCCCGTCAGCCCACACATCAAATGCTCCGTCAGCACGCATGACGTCACGCATCCCAGCTGACAAACGAAGGATCGAACGCGACAAAGGTTACGCAGCGACGCTGGCCGTCGCTCGCTTCAGCATCTGCCAGCGCAAAGCCATCAGTTCATCTTGCAGTTTTATAACACATAGCCCGTGATTCTTCGAGCCCGCGAATAGATGCAGACTATTTTGTGCAGGCTTTTTCAAGGTTGCCAACACATCCCAGCAGAAACGTCATTCACATCCAGCCATTTCACCGGCCATCCGCCGTTCGAGATCAAGAAAAATATAATCCTCCTGTCTTTCATCTCCGGCGTTCATAAACACAATTTCTAGATGTAACACCACCGTCGACTGGCTCTTACCCAACGTTGTGCAAGTTAGGTACGATTCTACCACGAATTGTGTTTTATGCTACACAATACAAAAAGTTATGCATTCTTTTCAGTTACAACAGGAATATAGCTTGTAATGGAATAGCCTACGAATGGCGTTGCATCCGAGTGAATGAATACCAGTAAGCACTTAAAGCTCACAGATAGATTTGCAAAAACACCACGAAAAAGGCCAAAAGACGAGCACCTAGCGATATTTGGTCCAGCACACACCCAGCACCACCGCGGGTCACCTCTCGGAACAGTGAAGAGCTACATGAGAGTGCGGTCATACAAACGTTTCATTGCGTCATGAAGCAATGCCGTATGGAGAGGCATATTTCCTAAATAGAGAAAATTTGCCATCCAGAGCGGTCTTTTCCACTCACAAGCGCCCCAATAGCTAAAAGCGAGCTCATTTCATCATATGTGACGCTTACTTCAATATTTCAAATGCTGACTATTCTCTTTAACGACCTTTAATACACCAGGAGATGCTGGTTGAACCACGTTGTGGTGCTAAATAGCATTTACATTAACCGTACTAATTGCTTTCAGCTGTGCTCATTCTCACGAAAACCTTGCAGCACAGAGGGCTTCTGCGGGCTGGATCCCTGGCTGGCCGGGGCAAGTCAGGCTGCGTGCTGACGTTTTGGAGAAGTGGCGTCTCTAGTTCAGATGTCATCGGCAAACTGTTGGTGTATTTGTAGTGGGCACTACGGGTAGAGGACGTAATTTAACAAGTGATATGGAGAGCAGCGTCGCAGCACGTCGTGTATTTTTATTGGACACTACGGGTAGAGGACGCAATTTAACAAGTGATAAGGAGAGCAGCGTCGCAGTACGTCGCGTCCGCAACAAAGGGGAAGCATGGACAGGGGTAAAGTTTCGCCTGAGTCGATGGTGAGTTGGAGTGGGTGGGCGGGGATGGGGTACTGAGCAGTGAGAAATGCTGGAACCTGCCTCAAAAACGTCAGCAAACGGTTGTTTTCTCAATTTGGGCCGTTTTCCTCCCAAAGTTGGGGAGCCCCCAACTGCACAGAAAACTTCTCCTCGCTGGTTAGCGGCAGCTCTGATCCCAGAAATTCACTTGTTAAAAAATTTCGGACTGAATCTGGTCCAAAAATACAACCACACCAAAAACCCCCCTACGCCGTAGCATCTCACCGCAATCACCACTGGCCCCGAGTTTTGCGCCGCGCCAACCCGTGCCAGATTTGCCAGAGCTTTTATAGAACCCCATCATCCGAGGAGTTGACCAAACAAGCGGCGTGGAGCAGCATAAATAAACACTGCGGAGTACAAAGGAACGCCGCGGCCTACTGAGAACGCCAGGCACATGTAAATCACAAACCAACCTTGCGCTGGAGGGAGGGGAGGGGAGGGGCAGTGGGGAGATGGCCGATTCCCCGCATGGGCAAAGTCTGGCTCAGCGGCCGCCTAGCGATCATGTTGCGGTGCCGCACCTGTAGCACACCGATGAATATACACAATATAGGCGCATTTGGCCGAGGGACAGCTTTTCAGCCATTAATTACCTCCCCGATAATCATTCTCGGAGGTTCTCTATTGACGTTCGGCAGGTCCGGATATTATTCCCCAGATTCGTCTCCCATGTACCATGAACCGCCAGCTGTCACCGCTTAGTCATGCATGGTGAACAGGGGTGCCAGTTTTTGTAAATTATTGGGAGGCCGAACTGAAGGCCCCGCAACTCCCCCCCCCCCCCCCACACACTTTTTCTCTCCGGATTTTGCCACTTCATTTCGATTAAACGCAGTAAAGTATCGTATAATTTATGGCTTTAATTGAACACGCGCCCGAGTGGCCGTCTGGATACCCTTCGCTCGGGTGGGGGAGGTAATTAAGCCCCCTAAGATCTCAGGAACTAAGAGAGCTAGACACACCAAATTTACCGCTTGTGTTGGCCCGTATCTGTACTCACTCAGGTCAAAGTTTGAGGTTCCTAGGTCATGACCTTCAGGCTAAGTAAGGTCAAAGGTAAGTTTCCAGGCTGATTTCCAAAGTGCCCCAGAACCTATATACCTGCTCTAAGCATAAGGTCACATGACCATTTAAGGTCAGTGACCTCGTCTGACTTTTCGAAGGTCATGGTGACCAAAATCATACCAGACTGCTTTGAGTGTTGCATTTGAATAAGTGACAAAAATTACACTTGGTAGCATGCTCCGAAAAAACCGTTGACCTGGGTCATTTTAGGTCAGTTACCCATTCTGACCTTTGAGGAGTGCACGGAATATGTATAATGCGGTTCCTGTTATCAATAAATTCGAAAGGAGCACCAGAAACTAACACATGCATCAAGCCCTAGAGCACTAAAGCAGATTGGGTTTAACTTTCGTCTGACCTTCAAAACTGACCTAAGGTCAGCTGAATTCGAATCTGCTCATTTAATTGTTGTGTTGCCTAAGAAAATATCTCCGGGACGTATGATCTCGTCTAGCATTACGTTGTTGAATCAGAATAAATGGTTCCCTAAAACTGACTTCGCAGAATCCATGGCCTGGCTTTGACCTGCCGTAGGTCAGCGACCTTACAACGTACACCTAAATTTTCAATCCCAACGATTTCTACTATTTAATCGTCTAAAGCTATGCGCAATTGCCGCGCCGTTTGGAAACCATTTTGAAAAAAACCTTTAGGGGGCAACTTGGACCTCCAAAGGTGTTAATGTTAAAGGCGAGTTAATGGAAAAGACTGCTCTAAATAGCGCGTTTCTCTGTTTATTAGATGTGCTCCTCAATGCGTCATGTTTTGATTACGTAGTCGTACTTGCACAACATTGATTGCGGGGCGGCTGACGCCCGTCATACCTGGAAGCACACTCACGAACGCCAGATATGAATGCCTCAACAAGTGCATTTTTCTTGGGCTTTCTTCGCCGTACGTTATTGTAACGTCATGAATGCCGAGGTGACTTTGAAACACTCTCCCCCATGTACACTTCCCCAACGTCGCGGGCGCGAAGCTTAGAGACTAGAGATGCTTAGGCCTTCAGGACTGGATTGTGAACAGCACCGACAAGCCCCCCCCCCCCCCCCCCCCCCCCAGCTGGCTATTTCAGGACAAAACCTCACATAAACGTGGAACACTCCCTACAATACCAGGTGTGCAGCCAGGGATTGAAGCCAGCATTTTCCTTTTTTATCACAGGCGGCTCAGACAGAGTTAAAAATCGGGGTGATGCGTTCTCACTGAGAACGACTTTGACCCCCCCCCCCCCTCCCACCACATAAAAAATCCTGACTGCGCCCCTGCTTCGAACAAACCGCGGGGTTTTCCCGCTCTCTCACAGGATCTGGACTCACCCGTCCGGAAAACCGTGACGGAGGCGTCCACCGCGCGGTGCCTCCCTGCCCTCTCCGCCGCTGCACTCGCTCCACTCCGCCGCGATCCACGCGAACGACAACACGTGAAGCCCCCCAACGCCGGTTGGCAAAGCCGCGTGACCTTGAGATGGCGTGCGTCTCTAGTTCACGAGACGGCCGCCAGGTGGCAGAGAGCTGTGCTGCGGGCACCGTGAGCGCTCAGTTGCCAACCGCACACAGCGTGTATTGGGTGACCGCCACCGCAGATCGTGGGCGTGATTCAATAGGTGATGTGGCGACCAACGCCACATAATTTTGTGTCTGCAGCAGCGGGAAAGCAGTGACACAGCCGGGATGGGGAAGTGTTGGAACTAATCCGCTGTGTTGGTTGCGGGCAGTGGCGGATCCAGGAGGGTGGGCACGACAGCATGCCCCTCCGTTGAACCAAGGGGGCACCGAAATCTCGTGGTGAAGAGGCACAGCAATCCTCGTTCCGGGTCCATATCATCTTTATTTCTCAACGCGCACCAAGGTTCATGGCCACCACAAACGACCCCAAATATGCACACTCAACATAAAAAGTTTAAGAAAATTACCTCTCGAAATAAGAAAATTACCTCTCGAAAAAGGGGCTAAATCTAGTCAAGCATTCCAACGGAAGATATCTTACCGATTGAAAAATGAGGATTTGAAAATGAAGTGGCCGAAATGCGGGGACTTCTTTGAAGGGGGGGGATGGGGGGGGTGCACCAAGTTCCAAAGGGCACCACAGTGAAGCGTGCCCCTCCCTTGACACACTCCTGGATCCGCCTCTGGACTGTGGATCTGACAGCTGAATATATTGCAAACACGCTGAATCTATTTCGCGCATGCATACGTTGTACATGGGCATCGAATTCTCACCATGACTGGAGGCCAGAGTCGACGTCACCAAAAAGGGCAAGGACGAAACACTTGCCGGATTCCGTATAATATATATATATATATATATATATATATATATATATATATATATATAGGCTTAGATATAATCTATATCATAAGCGTATAGAAGAAAGCGAAACCTGATGACCAGTTTGTCAATCACTGATCTATGTCAGTCAGCGTTTCGATACAATGAAGATCATCATCAGGACATATTTCACAATGGAACAATGTGTAACAAACTCTTCGCGTCACACTTGGCGTGTATTGTCTCAGCCTCCGCGATCCCGACTCTCTCGTCTCGCGCCCCGTCCTCCACCGCCGCCGGCCATGGTCACCCAGGCGCTCGCGCCGTCCCCCGTAATTAATTTTCCCTCCCTCCCCTCGACGCATGGCGGCGTCGCTACCGACGCGGCGGCGATGGCCAAAGTCGGCCAGCCCCACCCGTCCCTCCCAACAGCTGGCCGCTGTCACAAATATAAAGTACTTTGCGCTACCCTAAACTACGGCTGCACAGCACCTCTAGAATTCTAGCGCGCAGGGTTACATGTGACAAACATCGCCGGGCTATGTCACCCATATCGGTCGTAGTGAGTAAGTTAATAATGGTCATGATGAGCACGATTCAATACGAGAACAACACTTCTCTGCACGCAGCCATGTCAGCTTCAAAACATGAAAATCAGGTGACGAAGGATCTTCAAGACCCCGTTTGAAAGATAAGCTTATAATTTTAGAGGATATGCAGACCCCGTGGTATTAAATGACAGCTTCTTTTAGAAAGATGAAGTGATTCTAAAACCCTGAGATGGAAAGAATTGCCGCATCGCCCTTATAACATTATCGATCTCAGGATTTTATTACCGTTTTATATTCAACAAAAGAAGCCATTATCCCACATCCATGGGATCTCCGTATTTGCTGCAAATTATAACGTAGTCTTTTCATGCGAAGTCCAAGAGATCTTTCTTTCGTGGCGCGATTTTATTTTTTCACGCCGACCTGTTTGCGTGCAGACAGGTGTTTTGCTCGTGTTGCGTTGTGTTAGCCATGGTCATTAATGAGCCTGGCATGTCCGGCATTCACCGCACAAGTAAGTGATTCACGTACATCGCATAGGTGTGATGTCACCTAACGATGTTTGTTAACTGTAGACTTGTTCAATTGTGCAGCAATGTGCCCTGATCATGAAACTTAATTGCATGCCGTTGTGCGCGCACCAGTTGCGCCGTAATTCAAGGGCTCGCCCATAATTTCTACATGGTCATCCAGATTCCAACGGTCTCCTCTTACAACAACCTGACAGATATCCGAAGTGCTGTATAAACTATGCAGTGCCAACGTGACGACTACGCCAATTTTCGAATGTTCTTACAAAAATGGGATCCATGGATAAACCCTTGTGCACGCTACAGGTATTGAGGTGAAGGCCTCCGCCTGAGGTTTAATATTTAGTTTGCAGTGAATACCGCTGAGTTAAGCCGTTCAACCACGGCTGTAATGCGCCGTGAAATCCCAGTTCCACTACCAACAAGAAATGACAGACAAAGTCAAATGCTTTTTATAGCTCAATGAGTCAGATCAGCGCTACCAGGCCGACATCCGTGGCTTGAATAGGCTACTTGAGATGCTCAGGATTGCTGTTTCGGTCAAGTGACTCCTACGAAGCACGTGGCAGCTCGATATATCAGGGCACGTCATGTTAAATGCGTCATTAGCTGCGTAAACACCAGCTTTTCTTCTAGCTAAGACACTACAGGAATAAGCCAGATTGGTCTGAAGGTTCCTGATTTGGCCAGATTTGAAAATCGACTCCGCAAGTGATATCTCACACTTCCATGGCTGTATCCTAGAGGCAAAACTGCTCTTCATAATGTGCAGCTGCGCTGGTGCCAGAACAAGTAAGCAGACCTGGGCAATATAAAGTCATCATATTTCTAAGGCGACAATGGGTTGCCAACATTTATGTTCATCAAGCAAAGCACCCGGCGCACGCCCGTGTAACAGCATATATATATATATATATATATATATATATATATATATATATATATATATATATATGCGTGTATGTGTGTGCGTGTGTGTGCGGTTCTGTTTTATCTCTCAGACTAATGACACGTAATAGCCACGTACGTATGTGGGGTGTCAGCTGATGTCAAATACAACAGTGTCGCGTACCCAACGGAGTCGCCGTCAGTAGCAATGCAGCAGGCGTCTCCCTCGATGTCAGATTACGAATTCGTGGACTTGATCTGCCAGCTCATCTGGAAGCCCTCTTGGCGATGGTCCCTTGCCACCGGCGATCCTACGGATAACGCGGTGTGGGCTTCCGGGCCTCGTCGTTGCGGTGCGTCATTGAATATCCCCGCGGCGGTCGCATCGGCTCCCGACGATTCAGCTGTCTGTGCACCGCATTACATGGCGTTGCATCGCGTTACGTCGTATTGCGTTACATTGCATCGCATTACATTGCGTTACATCGCGTTACATCGCATCGCGTTACATCGCGTTACAGCACGTTACATCGCATCGCATTACATCGCGTTACAACGCGTTACATCGCATTATGTTACATCGCGTTACATGGCATCGCGTTACATCGCGCTACATCGCATCGCGTTGCATCACGTTACATCGCGTTACATCGCGTTATATCACGCTACATCGCATCGCGTTACATCGCGTTACATCGCATCGCGCTGCATCACGTTACATCGCATTACGTTCCATCACGTTTCATCGCATTACGTTACATCGCGTTGCACCGCATCGCGTTACATCGCATTAAATGGCATCGCGTTACATCGTGTCACATTGTTTAATCTGCACATCGCATGACGACGGTACACGTTGTGCCATGAGGTCCTTTATCACGTTGGACACAGAGATAACAGTCGACACGTTAAACTGAGCATCCTGCTATGGGCGTGTATGCCAAGCAGCGACTTCAAGATGGTCAGGAACGCTTCCCACCGACATCAGAGGAAAAAAGCGCCAGCATAGCGCCCCGATCGACACTGGCCATGTTCTGTAGCAGCATATCAGGGCTAATTGGGTGGTAGCTGTGTGTACTTCATTAATTGGGGAAATTTAAAAAAGCTAAAAAGGAGATTTACTCTGGATTTGACCTACTCTCCTCTCAACGTTGCGGGCAGGAGGACCAAAACGGAAACAAATATACAGGAAACAACTGGGCAAGGAACAACAACCCTGCTTCACTACGTTTCTCGCTCTGTTTCGGCGGAAGGTGCTGGCATGGAGCATCATTATTATCTTGTTTGGAATTGACGATCAAATCCAAGTTTCCGTTATTGACATACAGGGTCGATGCTACATGGCTTTATATGTTTGTGCACGTGCACAGCTTCGGGAATGAAAAGAGCTTGTAGATGTACGCAACTGTCTGAGGCCGCCACAGAAACCCGGACTGCAGGACGGAGAACGGGCTGAAAAGCAGCACTCGCGTCCAGTACGTTCGACACAGCTACTGCTGTTTTGGTGCTGGTCGTTGTCGGCGTACTATCGCGTCGGCCTAGCCGGCTGCTACCAATCGTCAGGTTTTGTAACTGTTCCAATGAATGTTGTAAAACTTCACTTACTTTTTATGCCATCGGCGTGCAAATTTAAAGGGCTCTTTCGAACTTACACGACTCGTAGATTCGTCAAGTTTTGGTGTGTCAGTATGTAACCTGTTTGTTCCAGCGATGATCAGCCGATAGCACGCCGCGGCAGAATGGCGCAGATCATTGCTGGCTGTGGAAGTTGAGAAAACATTGCTGAATAATGCCATACGACAGCGCAAGACCAAAGTCCATGTCAAAGTCATGAACTTTGTAATTGAAAACCATGTGACATGTAGCCAAAACGGCATATACTCAAGTAAGTGTGGAAGGAACGCGTGGCTCTTAAAAGGCGACTAGCTCAGTCGGTTGTACTGAGCTGTAGAGCACATTGAAAATGTTTAGTTTCTGTGTTTCTTTTTCGTGTGAAACATCTAGTAGACTTTTTCAAAAAATGACATACTTTGAGTTCCCACTTAAAAAGCCCTGCCTGCACTAGTCTCCAGAAGGTTAGGGGCCTAAATTACCGCTGTGGGGGGGGGGGCAGATATTGGGGGTTGGTGGGCGACCAAAAGGGATGAAAATCGACACCTGTGACG